TGTTTATTCATACGCTCTCGACCTCACTCCCTTCTTCTCTTGCTCGCTCGTCACTAACATTCTATTCAAATGGGGGACATTAGTTTTCAATAAAGAACTATCGAGAGGGTTGGTTCGAAGTGATACAACCATCTGACGCATTTATTAGGTAATTTTTTTTATTTTAATTATTATTATTATTAACCATACATTCATTACAATGTCCCATCATCAAATTTCTTCTTCGAAGCTCATGAACTTCACAACAACTAATAATTATGTAGATGAAACATAAAACGATAACAGAAGTATGTTTCTTGTTAAGTGATAACTAAAACAAGTGATAAATCCAAAAACTGTGATAAGATTATTCAATTAAACACTCCACAAAAATCCGAATGAAAACAACATAACTAAAATAATACTCACGTGAAATCAAAGCACATAAAAATAATAACACTAGACAACTAACATGAAATTCAAATAACATGATAACATAAAACCCAAATTACAAATCACCCACAAACTCCATGCATCCGTATCAATGGCATCAAGTTCTTCAGGTTTCTGATGAGTTAAAGAAAAGACCCTTGGTCAAATATTGTGCCTAGTTTCTCCTTATGAGTCAAAGAATAAGCCTTTGTTATCCTCTGCTGGCTACAATTAAAAGTAGATCCCTCCTGAAAATTGCTCTAAACCGAATCTCTCCATGAGTTAGATCTAATATGGACCTCTGAATAGAATTAGGATAGTTTCTTATCTGATGTCCAGGTAACCTGCATAAATAATACACCTTCAAACAAAATAAACATTCACCAAAAAATTTCTTCCCTCACTTAACACAAGATTCTATAGTGCTACTAGAAATCTGGGTAATAACTCCACCAGTGTAAAACTTTATTTGCTTCCCATTAGACTCTCCAGACTAAACAATGGGTGAAACTTACTTCCAAACTCTTCCTTTAATGTATGTCCTTAAGCTTATGAGTATGCTGAAAATTAATTTCCATCCACCTTGTTCTCTACACTAACACTGAATAGTTTCAATTCCAAGTGGCACTAGTAGTTGTCTGATTAATTCCTTCAATCCAGAAAAAATTTGTAGCGTTTCTCCTCTGCATTTAGAACGAGTTGTGATGCATATCTCGACAGCATGATAAAATCCACTTCGTATTGCATAACTGATAGATCTTCCTGCACCAACCTAATAAATTTATATTACATGTCTCCTGGCTGACAATGATACAAACAATCTGAAAGTTTTCATGAATGCAACACATTGTACCAAGGGCAAGATCAACCACAAACTTTCTCCCGTAAATGACCTTGCCATCATCTATCAACTATTCTCTCAAAGGCAGATGTGACAAGAGTAACTTTCTTCGCTGGTGGACATGACAATCAATCTACACTCTTGTCCACTCTTCACAACCAGTTTTCAACTTCTACTGGCCCTGTTGCTTAATAAAACAAGAGTGGTATCATGTCCTGAAAAAGCTTCAAATACTTATCCATTGGTGCTCATCCGCTGTTATCGATCTGAGGCTGAGAGTTACTAATCATCTAAGTCACTGTAGTCATCATCTCAACAAAAACATCAGCATTAACCATAACATTCTGGGTATATCAATTTCTACATTATCAACCATGTCGTCCTGATCATCCATAACTCTAAAATAATAACAAAATAATTTAATTAGACTCGATTAGAATTTTATTTTTTATTATTTATAACTTAATTCAATCCTCATAATGACTCATTCAATAAGAATCATGTTGTTTAATCTAAACTCTTTTCTCTAATATCACTTTTGTCAAAACCCAGTCAGAGGCTTGAAATTAACCATGACAAGAACAAATGTCAGACGATGAAAATAAATTCTTTGTTTTTTTTATTTCTTTCACTAACAGTTTAATATTCAAATATTTACGAAAATGTCACTAAAGAAAGTAATTTAATTAACAACTAAAAGTTTTACCTTTCTAGTTGTTCTCTCCTCTCTTCTCCTATTCATCTTATTTAAAAATTTAAAACAAGAAAAATGTTAAAACAATAGAATGAATTATCTAAAGATAAACAAGGAACAATCATACCTCTAAACTATAGTAACCCAAAAAAAATAAAGCAATATATATGCTGGTCTTAAATATATATAAGATTATATAATAATCAAATGTACATGTCCATAATATCTACTCAATGAGAATTCTAAAACTGTATAAATTTACCTTAATTTTATTCTTAAAAGATTTAATTTTAATTTTACTCTTATTTTATACTATTAACATTCACATTTGTCTCAGGAGCAGCGTAAAAAATAATTTAACACACCCCTGACCGATATTATCCTGTCTTCATAGCGGTTAGTGATCTAATTCAAACAATTCTCTGAAGTAGAAAGGTGTCTACTCTCTCCTGACACATTCTCCAATCGGTGTGGCGGTTAACAATATAAACATCAAAATTGTCTGGGGTGGTAAACAAACATCTACGTGTGCGAGTATACTAGTGTCCCTTTTTCTGTAACATAAAGGGGCGAACTCCTTTTAGCATGCACAATGCAAGCATCCATTTATAAGTAATTTCATTATTCAAATCATACATTCTTCTCTTATGAGATACTTTATATTTATCTACTAAAAAAAATTGCACCCTTATTAAATTATAGGTCATAAAATAAACTGAATTATGCACCTATACTAGAATTTACATGTCATATAGTAAGGTGACATTCTTAGAAAAAACTATAATATGGTGACCTCTTCTTAGAAAAATAATGCAACTATTTTTACAAAAGTTTTAAGATGCATGTCATGGCAATGAAAATGAAGAAATTAATATAATTTAATCTCACTGAAATGTAGCATAAATCAAATCTAATATACATTTAAAAATAATGAAAAATTACTAAAATTTAGAAATATAATTACTCACATCACTCTTTCGGATGCCACTTTTATAGCATAATCCTTCACTTCACGTTTTTGTTAGACTTTTACCAATTTATTTTCAAGAAATCAACATCCTAAAATATTTTCACAATATACATCAATTTAGATATTTACATAGCATCTAAATTTAAGACATAAAAGAAGAATTATAAAATTTCCTCACTTCTTCTAGCAAGGTAAAAAATTTTTCAAATCAAAACTCAATTACTCTTCCCAATTCAAATTACTAATTTTGACTCATAATAATTAATATCAACATAATTGCACTAAATTAAAATACTAATATAAGTAAATTAAAAGAGATATAAATCTTATCTTTATCTTCACCCTCGCTCAAAAATAAGACATATTTGTCATTCTTAATTTTAAATTATTTAACATACTATTAAAATCTTAATACACAAATATATATATTAAATTTATTAATTAAAAAAAATGAAACCTACTCTTACCTTAATAATCCTTCAACCGCATGTTGAGCTTCGGCTCTGCGTCTCACCCCTTAGTCGCTACTTCCCTATTCTTCCTTCGAGTGGGGCTTGACATCAACCCGCACAGCAAGCCAAATTTGCATTCTTCGTCCTCTTCCTCTGCATGTGAGCACAACATCAAAGTCGCTCGACCTCGCTTCTTTTCTCCTTTGAACAAGCAAAATCGAACCTTCTCCTGCAAGCACTTGCACACTTCGTTAAAGGCAAAGAAGTTCTTTGCCTCCTCCTCCTTGTCATGAGACGCTTGACCACAACTTCTCCTTTCTCCCGTAGACGAGTCGCTCAACCTCGACTAAGGTTGCACACGCGACCCCACTACTTGGTTGTCGCTTATCCTTTCTTCTTCAGCTTCTTCGTCATCATCTTTGACTAGTTTGCCCTCTCTCTTTCGTTCGGTTTGAAAAGAAAATGAGAGGATAAGAGCTCGTATATTTTCCCCCAAGCAACATTTCTCCTCCAAATAACACTCAAATTCGTAAATTATTTTATTATTATTATTAATTTTTTAAAACGATTATTACACCAACCAATGAAGATTTAATCCAAACTTGTCCAAAAGACGACGACAACAACAACAACAACAACAAGGCCGTAATCCCACTGCGTAGGGTTTGCTACATGAATCATTTTTCTCCATTGCGTCCTATTTAGTGTCATATTTTTATTTAGTTCTAATAAATTAAGATCATTTTTTTATGCAATAAGCCCAAGTCTTCTTAGGTCTACCTCTGCCTCTTAACATAAGTCGAATCTAAAACATAAACTCTCCAAATCGAATCATCAGATGGTCGACGTTTAATGTGACCAAACCATCTAAGACGACTCTCTCTAATTTTGTCCGTCACTGCAGCTACACCAACAGCTACACCAACCCCTACACCAACCCCATCACGTATATATTCATTTCGCATTTTGTCCCAAGTGTAAAACCACTCATCCACCTAATCATTCTCATCTCGGCAACACTTAATTTAGTATTATGCTTCTCTTTAAAGACAACATTCAGCGCCATAGAGCATTGCAGGTCTCACCACCAGCTTAAAAAATTTTCCTTTCAGTCTAAGAGGTACTTTTCTATCACACAAAAGGCCCGAAGCATTCCTCCACTTCAACCAACCAACTTGAATTCTACTATTAACATCTCCATATATATCACCATCGCTTTGAACAACAGACCCGAGATATCTAAATCGTTCACACCTTTTTATAATTTTGATCACCCAAAGTTACACTTCTGTCACTAGAATTATTACTACTAAAATTACATTCCATGTATTTAGTTTTTGTTCTACTCAAATGAAGGCCTTTAGACTCTAAGGTAGACCTCCATAATTTAAGGTTTCTTCCTGGGTTTTTTCTCTCGTCTTATCCACGAGAAGGATATCATCAGCAAAAAACATACACCAAGGTACATCCTCCTGTAAATGTCTAGTAAGACCATCCATAATTAAAGCAAAAAGATATGGGCTTAAAGCCGATCACTGATGTAATCCAACAGAAATAGGAAAATATTTGGTTTTCCAAAACTTCTTTTCACATACATGGAAGGAGAAGATTAAAACAGCAAAACTCACATACCATTGAAACCAACTTAGAAAGGATAGCCATAGTTGTAAAATCTATCTTCATCCTCTGCTCCAAATCAGGATACTGTACCTGAAGCGAACAAAATCAATTTTATTCACAATACAAGAGATTCATTTCAGTGAAAACATAGCATCACAAATAAGAATCTTTCAAGTGAAAAACATTATATCAAATATAATATCCAATGTTAGTTGGAAAGAAAAAAAGATAAAAGAATTAACAGACTATAAATAATATACTAGCAGTAAAATGAAACATGCAATTGACTCATTTTGAACAGAAAAAAGATAAGGCGCACAAAAAGAATACAAAACAAATTATATAAAAATTTTTAAGCAAATGAAAAAAAGGAAAAAAAAAACAAGTGCGCTGAGGTAGTTTCAGTTGGGGTTATGCTCGTCACAAATAGTATGTTTAAGTACATGTTTAGATTAGAATATAGCTATGATCAAATGATGAAAAACTACGTAAGAAGAAAGAGAAAATTTCACACAGATTCCATTTATCTTTCTCGCCTTCAATTTTTGGCCCAATTTATGATGCTAATAAAAAACCGTGTACAAGGAAGTCCAAACAACCAAAATGTATACAGTTAAGCTAGAGGATGTACCAAAAATAATTGTGAGTTTCTCATAAAAATTTTCTAAATCTACCTCAAATATTATTCACCAGAAAAACCTAGAATTTCTGGTAATATGCGTTAATTTTCAATAGATTTTCCGACATGTTGCCTATGTCCTCTGAAACAAAGCCTGATAATTTTTTTGTTCTCCATTTAAACTTTTAAGAGGCACATACAATAAATTTCTAAGATTTTAACGGTGATATTTTGGCAGTTATTTTATAGTTTATGTAACTGCATTTAGAAATATATATATATATATATAAATATATATATAAAGCCCAAAAAAACTAATATATTAACCAAAAAGAAATATACAGATACAATGTGTTGGAGGGCCCAAACATGGCATCCAACACCAAAATCACAAATGGTTCCAAAACTAGAAAATACAGAAAAGTACATGAGAGACATAAAGAAAAAGTTTAAAAATATTGAAATACCAATATCGGGTGGCTAGGGAGCAACCCAATTTGGTTTTGTCTCTGCCTCTGGTTCTAGGGAAGGAGCAAGCTAATAAGTTGGTAAGATGATTGTCATTGCCAGTAGTAACCAATGTATCATCCAAAATGTTCCCGAGCTGGAGTCGGCCTCCATTCTTTTTCTTCCTCATGGAATAGACCTGTCATTCATCTTCCGAGGATTGGCTCACCTGATCTTGTTCTAAAGTGTGTTGGAGATGTGCAGATTGTTGAATATTAGAAGCAACTACATGTTGTACCGGCGTTGTACCGGCTGCCGGCTGATCTGTTATTGGATCAAAAGAGCCCTCCGCGTTTCTTGACATGTTTGTGAGTCTTCTTCAATAACAGTGGGTGGTATAAGCACAACTGGATATGTAGCTTTAGTATGTTCTTCTTCAGGAATTGCGGTGTTGGGAAGAGGATCGGGTTGCATCTTCCCAACAGGAATAATAAGTGGTTGTTCTTTAGCGATATTCGGCCTTATGTAGCTTTAGTATGTTCTTCTTCAGGAATTGCGGTGTTGGGAAGAGGATCGGGTTGCATCTTCCCAACAGGAATAATAAGTGGTTGTTCTTTAGCGATATTCGGCCTTAGATGAGGATGCAAACGATAGCAAATAGTAGAGTTGTGGCCAAACATACTACAATGAGAGCAATAAGGAGGGTGTGATTCGATTTCAACATGTTGTTAATACCCGTTGTGAGTGGTTCGAATCCACACCTCATCCGGAGCTGGTTGAGTGATATCCCTCTCAACTAACAGACAAGCCACAGAGGGTCTGGTGACAGCAAGCGTAGGACTATCAACCCTGAGAGGCTTACCGTAAGCAGTTGCTAAGTAGCAGAGAATTTTCAAGTTGAACAGATGTAATTTTAACCCCGAGAATTTAATCCATACTGGAATGATAACAGACTCCGCTTTTGGGTCGAAATCAACAGTCCACTTCAGAATTTTCATATAACGATTATCGATCTTGATAACTTTCCGAGAAAATATGCGAGTGTAATCGACATCATGAGACAACTGAATCAGTATGTGCCGACCGTCAAATAAACCAATATTCCAACTGCCCAATAGTTTCATAGTCTCAAAATCTTTCCGAATGATCTCCAGTTTTGGGTGACCATACAAAAATTTCCCCACGAGAGCAAAGCACCAGGAGGATGCGATAGTACTCGTTTCAACCTCTATGAGAATAATAGCAGAGTTCTTATTTTTTTACCTAATTTTTTATGAAGGTGTGATCGCCACAACCTTTAAGAGCGTCATGAAAAATTGAGGAACATTGCAGGACTTGCCAATATGAAAACCAGACTCTGAATCTGAAAGAGAAGCACGAGTAGGAATAGAAATGTCGTCGGTAAGTCCAGTGGCATAGGAGCGAATCGTGGATGCCATCTCCAAAGCAGCTAGGGGAGCCGCTGGAAATAGGCGAGCAAAACTGCCGCCTACGAACAACGCGAGCAGTTAAAAAGGTCGATGTGGCGGAGCAGTCTATCGGCCTTGACGAAGAAGACGCCGCAGACGACGAAGGCTGCGATTTCGTCAAGGCACGACGAAGTAAGACGCAGAAACGACGCGGAAACGACGCAACAGACGGAGTCGCGAAGCCGAGGGAGGCGAAGCCGAAGCAGATGGAGTCGAGCAGACGAAGCGCGACGAATAACAAGGGCTATTCGGGTTGCCATGAAGACGCAACGGGAGTAAACCCTAGCAGAGACATCGAGCGAGACGATATTTGATCTCTCTCTCTCTCTACATAACTATATAACTATATATATATATATGCATGTACGTACATACATATATGTACATTATGTATGTACATATATAAAGAGTATTATCATAAATTTTAATGTCACATATAAATTTTATGATTTTTAAAGAGTATTATCATAAATTTTAATATAACTATATAACTATATATATATATCTGCATGTACGTACATACATATATGTACATTATGTATGTACATATATAAAGAGTATTATCATAAATTTTAATGTCACATATAAATTTTATGATTTTTAAAGAGTATTATCATAAATTTTAATATAACTATATAACTATATATATATATCTGCATGTACGTACATACATATATGTACATTATGTATGTACATATATAAAGAGTATTATCATAAATTTTAATGTCACATATAAATTTTATGATTTATGTGGGTTTCTACCTAAAACTATAAAACGGTCATCCTAAAAATTCCTGAGTTCTAGTATTCTTTTTTTCTTCTTCCAAGATTTGTAAACTTGTCATTTATCTGCCAATGTTTGTCCCGTCTGATCTATTTGTGGATCTTGGATGGCGAGCTTACCCTGGGGGGTATGTTAATCTGTAAATTGTTGAGCAGTCTCAGCCTGCAACACATCTTCATCATGGCGCTCCACCAGGGCTTAATTACCCTCTTCTCTCGTGATAGGTGGTTCCAAAACACATCGGCTAGCATCTGCTACAACCAAATTAATAGTATTTATGATCTGAGGAAGAACTGTCTCAACAGCAGTGGGAAGTATCTGCAGAACTGGTTGATGAGGAATAGCCTGATGAGACAAATTTTCATTTAACATTTCTTGAAGATCTTCAATTTCTACTATGTTTTCCTCTACTTGGGTGATGTTATTAAGAACCACAGAATCCAAAGACACGAGAAGGTTGGATTTCAAATGTGGATGAAGCCTAAAACATTTGGCAGGTCTGTGCCCAATCAGTTTACAGTGATTACAGCAATAGGGTCTTTGTTCTGCGATAATGAGCTACCAATACCCATTGTGTGCAGTACCAAGCCAAATTTCTTCCACATTATGGAAGGTGATATCCCTTTCAACAAGAATCCTTGCACCGAATGCCTAGATAGGTTGAATGTAGGTATGTCCAATTTCATAGGTCTCCCTAATGCAGTTCCAATAGAATAAAGGGTTTGGTGATGTGAAGTAGTGCAATTTTAGGCCAGCTAGTTTAAACAAAATTGGAACTATAGGGGGTTCTTAGCTAGGATCAAATTCAGGAAACCCCTCGAGCAATTTCATATATTTCTCATCAATTGTCATATACTTCTTGAAAAATATTTTGGCATATTCCTCTACTTAGGATAATGGTATCATCACATGTCTCTCATCAATGAGACCAACCTTCCAGTGTCCCAATAGTTTGAGATCTTCAACAACCTTTCGTATGATTTCCATTTTAAGATGTCACAATTGGATTTTCCCAATGCGGGTAAATTTGCACTTATCAATCAGGTTGGATACTTCAACATTAGAGAAAGTTAGAGCTAGTTTGTCACTCTTTCTACTCGTCTTCTTCATGAGATTACGGTCCCCCTGGCCTTCAAATGATTTGTGATAAACCTGAGGGAAAACCTAATCCATTGATCCCACAAAGCCAACTATATTGACATAAGAAGCCTTCCCAAATCCCAAGGTTTAAAACTGAAGCAGCCGGTGGTTGAGGAGGAAAAGAAGCCATAGAGCTGAGAGTCGAATAGCGAGTAGCTACTGGGTTTGAGTTGTGACTCTACCTCACCGGAGCTCTTGTGTGTGCTAACACCTTCTTTGCTGCTCGGAGCTATCCGGATCCTTCCCGTACGCACAAGACACTGTGACGTTTTGCTCACTTGCCGGACGGAAATCATCCTTCAACGAGCAGACGAAGGAAGCACGACAAGGACAGCACGACGAAGCAGGCGAAGTCGATGAAGGATGAAGCATGACGAAGCAGACGAACTCGAGGCGCGGTCCCCTTCATCGACGAAGCACGACGAAGCAAGCGAAGTCAACGAAAGAGGCGAAAATGAGGTGAAATCGATGAAGTACGAAGCGAGAGTTAACAGAGCAAATGTCAGCATTCGCCATGGGGCGAAATCGAAGAAGCGTACTATATATATATATAT